GCCGGGCCCCCCCCCCCGCCTCCAAGGCCAACGCACAGCCCCTTGCCTGGACCACCCTGACGCTGCCCGAGGACAGAGCTGAGCACCGGCTTTGCCAGGGCGTCGAGGGGAGGCCCAGCCCTCTCGGCCAGCCTACCTTTCGCACTGCCGCCCGATGTAGCCCGCGGTACAGGAGTCACAGGTCGGCTGCCCATCTGCGTCCACAAAGCAGGTCCTGGTTTCTCTGCGAGGGAGAGAGGAGGGAAAATGCAAAGGGGCCTCATGTGGCAAGGGTGGGGCTGCCGAAGGTCACGGGTTGCACCTACTGGCTGGCCGAGGATGGTCCATGGCAGGGGCACGGCTGGCAGTCCCTGGGTGTCCCCTGCTGGGCATCCCCGTAGAATCCAGGCTGGCAGCGTTCGCAGTGGTGGCCTTCCGTGTGATGCTGGCAACCCTGGGGAGCAGCGGGAAGGCACGGCTCAGCCGTGAGGGCCAGGCTGGAGGAGGTTCCCAGCCTGCTTGCCGCCCAGGACCCTCCTTGCGCTGCCAAGGGGGTCACCCTCTCCTCCCGCTCCCAGCCTCTGGCCTGCCCACCTGGCAGTCTCCCGTCTCCACGTCGCACTTGGTGGCGTGCCTGTGGCAACTGCAGGGCTCACAGATGCCCAGATAGAGGCCACTGGTGGTGCGCGTGTAGCCAACGTCACAGTCCTGCAACAGACAAGGGAGTCTGCAGCTCAGCAACAGTAGGGGGTGGGAAGTCCACTGTCCCCTGGGCCATGCGAGGTTTGGGCTGCCCCACTTCCTGGGTGCTTTCAGACTGCAAGTGGGGCTCCATGCCATCCTGAGAGCCCTCTGCCAGGCTCAGGGAGCGATGCCAGGGTCCCCTCTGCCTTCTCACCTGGCAGGATGGCCCTCGGTATCCTGGCGGGCAGGTGCAGTCCTCGACCTCCACGGCTGGGTTCAAGCCTGTGGCATGTGGCACTGCCACGTCCATGTGGATGTCGGAGATCCTGTAGGAGGGAACCAAGTTACGACAGCCCAGAGGAAGGCAGGAATGAAGGGCGAGCTGCCGAGAGCTGCCCCCGCCACAAGCCACTCACTCAGCTCCCCCGGTCTGGCAGAGCTCAGGACCCCCAATATCCCCCTCCTACCTGGTCTCCGAGGGCTGCTCAGCATAGGAGGCACGGATCATGAAAAGATCTACGTCAGCCAGCGCCATCAGGAGGTGCTGCCGGGTGGCATTCTGTCCATCGGCACGACGCCAGGCTTGCTGAAAGGCGAGACGGGGAGGGGAGATGCTTAGTCTGGAGGAGGGTGACCTTCTCTGAGGGTGGAGAAAGGAGAATGACCCAAACCCCCGGCCGGAGGGCCTTCCTCTTGCACAGAGAGGCTCCCCGGTCTGCTGCCGCCAGTCCGAGTGGTCTCTGCTGGGCAGATGAACCAAAAGTCCAGGTCGACCGAGGGCTACCTGTGGCCAGGCCAGGCCAGGCTCTCACCTCCCGGAAAGGCACCACAAAGGCCGCTGGCGCCCCAGGCAGGGGGGTCGTGGCAGCCACGTGCTCCAGGAAAATGCCGTTTCCTTGCAGCAGAACATCAGGCTGGCCACGCAGTGGAGGGGAGCCGGGGAAGGCGTCGTGTGTGATGGTGTAGCGCAGCTCTCCGCCGTACGAGGTCACCTGCAGGTGGGCAGAGACCGGCGTCAGAGCTGCCCCCGTAATTCCTCTGCCGGGTTAAAATCTGCAGAAGCCGCCTCTTCCTCAAGGAAGGACTTCCTTTGCTTTCAGAGGGGCGACCGGTGGGGAACGCCGGCACGTCAGGCGTCAGTCTGGGCGCAGGGCGCTCCCAGCCTCCACCTGACCCCCAACCCCACTCTCCTCTCTTGACACAGGTTCATCCCCAAGTCTCCCTTCAGCCCAGCCCCGCACCTTGTCGCCCTTGAAGCGTTCGGGCAGCACCCAGTAGTAGACGTCCCGTGGCAGAACGTGGAAGGAAGAGAAGGTGAGCTCCGACGCCCCTGTGAAGCGGATCCCCTCGCTGACCGTCCGGGTGTTGGCAGAGTTGGCGAGGCTGAACTGCCCCCTCTCGGCATCCTCGTATGCCAGCTCCACCTGGAGCAAGGGGCAAGGTGGTTGGTTGTGGGAAGGGCCCCGGAGGGGGCTTCGGGGTCCCGCCTGTCCCGGGGGTCCCCGCTCCCTCCTAGGTGGGCCGAAGGAGTCGGCACAGGGGCGCTACCTGGTCTCTGCTCCATGACGAGCTGGCGCACTGGCGTGAGACCCCCATGCAGAAGCAGCGGAGGCAGCCGTCGGGGTTCCCGTGGCTTAAGTGGAAACTGCCCGTGACGCATTCGTTGCACAGCGGCCCCTGGACGTTGGGCTGGCGAGAGAGGCAGAGGTCACCCAGAGTGCCAAAACGGTGGCCGGCTCCGTAAACGGACCACGCCTTTGGCTCCCAGACGGTAACGGCTGAGTTCATGCAGCCATCTTGAGTCAAGCCACCAGTTTGCTGGCTCGCTGTGAGCTCTGCTGTGAGAAGGATGGAGGAAGCCCCGTCTCCTCACTCCCCCTGTTCCCCCCAGAAGGAGGGGGGTCTGCCAAGCAGATCCTCCCAACAGAGACTTGGGTTTGGTTCTGCGTTCGCGTTCTCCAGGGCCAACTCTTCGCAATATTTTCATCTCGCGCCCTCTCAGATTCAGAAGTTAGGAAAGGAAAACGCCAATGCCACAAAGGTTGGTGGGTCGGTGTGTCTGCACATATGCGCAGGTATTTGAGCCCCTCCTAATTTGGAATTTCAGAATCCTAAGGCCAAATTTCAAACCTTCATTTGGGCCCTTCATTTGGCTGAACCCCGGAACAGCTCCACGTGCCCAGAGGCAACCGTCTTGGGGAACAGCTGAGGCAGGAACCGGGTCGCTGTGTTTTGAAACGTGGGGAGGGGGGCTGTTTGCCAGCTGCCTCCTCTCCTTAAGGCGACTGCTCTACCCCAGCCCCACTGGGCTTACCTTGCACCGGCAAGCCCCATCCAAGGCCTTCCTGCCCCCTCGCTCATCGCAGAGGACCGGCTCTTTCCCTAGAGAGACAAACGGATAGAGGAGAGCCGCCTTCTTCGGCCCTGGCCTAGCTGAAACCGGCCCTCTTGGGGGATGTGGGGCTGGTTGCGGGGACGGGGAGGAAGATCCCTCCGGGAGGGTGAGGCGGGCTTGCTCCAAGACAGTCGAAGCCTCCCACCATAGCCGGAGTAAAAGCAGTGATTTCGGACCAGGTGACAAGGGGTTTCTCCAGCACCCTCCCTCTCCCCGGGAACAGTTTACAGCACGGGCGGTCAGTCCCGCGGGGCCTTCAGCTTTGAAACAGCCCTGTCGGGATGCCAAGGAGCTCACCTGGAGTCTGGACGCTGGGTGGGGCTCCTGCAACCGGCACGCACTTCCCGCCCGGCAGGATGGGGTTGCCTTCATAGCCCGGAGCGCACCTGCGAAGACAGGGAGGGCCACAACCCGTGAGGGGCTTCTCTCTCGAAAGGAACCCCTCCAGCTGAGGGCCTCCCGGGGCAAAGGAGGAGGAAGGCTTCGGCTGGCACCCCGGCCGCCCAGGAGACCCTCCGGCCTTCCTGCTTTGCCCGCGGGGGCCCCTTCGGATGCGTCGCTTTGGGCTTTTAACCTTTCGCAGCGGCGTCCTGTGTAGCCTGGGAGGCAGGCGTCGCAGGTCGCCTGTCTGTCCGTATCCAAGAAGCACGAGTTGGAAAACCTGCCAGAGGGAAAGTGCCATCAGGGAGGCTCTGCCACGCTTCCAGCGACACCCACCACGCAAGCAGCAGAAGCTCCAGCAGTGCAGCAACGGAAGGTGGCCACGGAAAGGCGCTTCCGTGGCGGGAACCTTCTCTCAGCCACCACGTGCTTAGTCTCCTTTCCCGGGGGAAAATCTAGACCTGACCTCCCCCCGCCGACATAATCACTGTCACCCATATAGAAACAAGGGCGACAACCTGCAGCTTAATGCTGAATTTGCCCGGCACTTCCCCCCCGAAGCCCTGCCCCCCTCACCTGCGCGGAGCTTCGGTGTATGGGCACGGGCAAGGCCGACAGGCTGCCGGGGTGGCGTCGGTGGCATCCCCAAAGAAGCCCAGCTTGCATTTGTCACACCGCGGCCCTTCAGTGTTGTGCTGGCAATTCTGAACGAAAAGAGAGGAGCTGCGGGGAACGGCTGTGAGAGGCTGGACCCTGCTTGGATCGGCCCCGGGCGTGGGGGTCACCTTCTTGATCTGGGACCTCGCGATGGAGCAAAGAGCCCAGAGTTTCACGCACGGGCGGGCAGAGGGGGCCGCCTGCCTGGGCTCAGCATAGCTGCATTTCGGGAGTTTGCAGGCCCGTCAGATCCAGGAGAAAGAAAAGCGTGCTGGGGGGCCGTGATGGAGGAGTCCAAGGACTCGGGTGTCCCAGCTAAGCAAATCTTAATCTTTTGCACTGGTGCCAAACAGTTCCATTTGCCAATGTCAGGAAAGGCTTCGCTGCTTCAAAAGTTTCCTGGCAGTTCTCCGACGCTCCTTCTCAGACCTCAGATTTGGAACCCCGAATCTACCCTGGCAGGCCCAGGTGTGTGAAGCGTCTTTCAGGGAATGGGGCAGCCCCCCATCCCCAAACCTCAGTGCCCCTCCTGCCCCTCCCCAACTCCCACCGTTGACCCACTTGCTTGCTTACCAGGCAATAACCAGAGGAAGGATCACAGGTGCTGGAATGGCCGTGGCAGCTGCACCCGGAACAGGTCCCCAGGTACGGGCCGCCGGGCACTCGCTTGAAGTGAGGGTCGCACTGCTCGCAGGACAGGCCGGAGTAGCCCACCGGGCACCTGCGGAAGGACAAGCGGAGTTGAAAGCAGCAGCGACCACAACTACCATCTGCCCCTGCCAGCACGGACAGCGTTTGCACGAGGGGTCAGTGCAAAATATGCAGAGCGTCGCCCTTGTTCTGGGTAGTTCACAACGGCTCAGGGCGGAAGCACCTTGCCCAGACAGGCCTAGATGGGGGTTTCGTGGCCCAGCCAGCCCAATAGGTCTCCTCAGGGTAAATGTTTATCTCCAGCACTGGCAGCAGGCAACCAGGGTTGTCCTGGGCAAACAGGGAACAGCGATCTTTGTGGGATCTCCCCAGCCACAGGAAACAGGTCTACGAAATGGCCGTTCCGTGCCAATTGGGGGTGGGGGGCGAGCAATGTTTTGATGGAAAAAATCTGGTGCCTGATCAGAGTTGAAGGCATGGGTTGTGGGGGCTGGAAAGGGGGAATACAAGGATTAGAGGAATCCTAGAGTGGCCTGTTTTTCCAGTCCTCCCCGTAGGCTCCCATCTCTACGATGGATGGACCTTCCATTAGCCCGCCATTCCCCGTTCAGACCCTCCGATGGATTAGTTTGACCCATAGTGAACTAGGGAGTAAGCTAAAATGTGACTCCAGAGCAGACTTGATTATGGGGCACGTATGATACAGCAGCCCGCTCTTCCCCCAAACACATTACACAAGCGCCGGTGCTAGAGATACCCCAGAACGAGCCCCACCACAGCCTCCCGGCTGGCACCTGCACTCCTCCACGTGATGCGCCACACCCAGGCTGGTGACCTCTGTGGTAGTGGTGTCCATGATGATGTTGCTCAGCCCCACTGTGACCATCCGGTTATCGTAAACCGTTTGGATCATGATGGCCTCCAGGTTCTGCAGAGTGAGAAGCAATTCCTCCCGGCTCACCGGGTCCCCGGACTCCTTCTGCCATTTCTCCTGTGGGCGTAAGACATTATCAGACGGCGCCAGTCTCTTCTGCTCAACTAGAAGCATGCACATGAGTGAGTTCTCCTCCTGCGGTGTACAGCTTGGCTTATTCCTTTGAGCCACACATGAGTGCCTCGACAGTTTCCTGAACCTGGGATCCTCCAGATTTTCCAAGCAAGCGTCTACATATTGTGGTTCCCAGGGTGAAAAGGGACACTATGCTCAGCGTCCTGAAGGAAAAGGGTTGGCCCTCCTCCATCGCACCCAGCCCGGGCTCCCTTTGCACTCACCTCAGTGAAATGGACCTGGCGCTGGTTGACCACAAAGGGGTCGGGAGGCACCGGCAGCCAATAGAGCAGCTTCTGCCCATTGCCCACAATGACCACATCCGGCTTCCGGACGGGCTCCGACTGCCCTCGGCCCAGATGGTAGCGCACCGAGAACTGGAGAGACCCTCCATAGGAATCCACCTGCAGGGCAAATGAGGAGCAGTGGTCGCGAGGGGGTAAGCAGGCATTCAAGGGAGACGGCTGGGCACCCGGGACACGTGGCATCCCCCGCTGCCCTTGCCTTGTTCCCCAGGAACTGCTTGGGGAGGGTCCAGAAGGAGTCATGCACGAGGAAGCGCCGAGAGAGATCGACCAGCTGGAACTCCTGTGCGCCGCGGTCAATCTGCATCTGCGTAGAGGCGAGGGGAGGCGTCCCGGGCGGATCGGACGTGGTCACGTTCACCCCTGAGGAAGAACGGGCAAGGCCAGAAGCCGAGTGGGTCGGGGGGCTAGGGAGGGCGAGAGGGCGCCTGGGTGCGCTGGGCCTCCCCACTGGCTCACCTTTGAAGTTGTTGTATTCATCGAATCGGAGGTGGATTCGCTGACGGTAGCGGCCGGTGCCGCGGCACACTTTGGCGACCCCGAAGCAAAAGCAGGGCAAGCACTGGCCGGTCCCTTCAATGTGGAAGTGCCTTTCGGGGCATGGCCCTGGACGGGGAAGGCGAGGGAGGCTCAGAGACCGAGAGGGAGGTGCTGGGGGGGACTTCATCCCCAGCAAGTCCTGGCCGGAACGGATGGGCACGATTCCCCAGCCCTCCTCCTCCTCCTCCTCCTCCTCCTCCTCCTCCCCCCGCAGCTCACCTCGGCCAGGCGTGAGGCTCAACACGCCATCAGGAATGCCGAAGACCATCCCGCGGGCGTTGATGGCCTCGCAGGTGTAAGCTCCCTGGTCGGCCTCCTTGACATCCCGGATGACCAGCGTCCCCCGGCCGTTCTCGCTGGTGAAGGTCACCCTGCAGGCACAGGGGGAACTCAGCACCCCAAAGTTTTGAGGGGGCGGGGGGTAGGCGGAGCT